TGTTGATTGTCACTTGTGATTGGAATGCAAAGGTTGGAAACAGAGAAGAATCACCAGTAATTGGAAAGAAAATATGGCCTTGGTAATAGAAATGATGCTGGAGATCACACGATAAAATTTTGTAGACCAATGACTTATTCATAGCAAACACCTTTATGCAACAACATAAATGGTGCCTATACACATGGATGATGGAATACACAGCTGGAATTAGATTGACTACATCTGTGGAAAGAACCAATGGAGAAGCTCAATATTTTCAGCCAAACAAGGCCAGAGCTGACTGGGACAGACCATCAATTACACATATGCAAGTTTAAGCTGAAGCTGAATAAAATTAAAACAATATGAGAGCCAAAATATGACCTTGGTTATATCCCACCTAGGGAGTTTAGAGAACATCTAAAGAATAGATTTGATGCATTAAACACAATGACCCAAAACTAGATTAATTGTGGGATGACATTAAGAACATCAAACATGAAGAAAGCAAAAGTCACTAAAAAGACAGGAAAGGAAGAAAAGACCAAAATGGATGTAAGAAGAGACTCTGAAACTTCTTGAAAGGAGACTAGCTAAAACAAATGGAAGAAATGATAAGATAAAAGAGCTGAACAGAAATTTCAAAGAGCAGCTTGAAAAGTCAAAGTCAATTATTAGAATGAAATGTGCAAAGACATGGAGTTAGAAAACAAAAAAAAAGAAAGAACATGTTCAACATTTCTGAAGCTGAAAGAACTGAAGAAATATTCAAGCCTTGAGTTATGATATTGAAAGATTCTATGGGCAAAATATTGAATGATGCAGGAAACAAAAAAAGAAGATGGAACGAATACACAGAGTCACCATACCAAAAAGCATTGGTCAGTGTTCATCCATTTCAGGAGATGATATATTATCAAGAACCAATGGTATTGAAGGAAGAAGTTGAAGCTACACTGAAGGAATTGGTGAAAAACAAGCCTCCAGGAACTGATGGAAAACCCACTGAGATGTTTCAACAAATGGATGCTGAGCTGGAGGCACTCACTCAGCTATGCCAAGAGATTTGGAAGACAGCTACCTGGCCAATTGACTGGAAGAGATCCATATTTGTACCCATCCCAAAGAAAGGTGATCCCACAGAATGTGGAAATTATTGAATAATATCATTAATATTATACACAAGCAAAATCTTGCTGAAGATAATTTAAAAATGATTGCAGCAGTATACTGACAGGGAACTTCCAGAAATGCAAGCTGGATTCAGAAGAGGATGTGGAACAAGGGATGTCATTGCTGATGTTAGATGGATCTTGGCTGAAAGCAAAGAATACCAGAAAGATGTTTATTTGTGT